CTGGTGTCGTGAACGGAACAATGATCCCTTTTCAAGTGATATAGCCACGATTGTCAACTTCCTGGCATCATTGTACAAAGCTGGTTATCAATACCGCTCTATCAATATTGACAATAATTACAGATCAGCAATTCCTTCCGTCCAGGAAAAAAACTGACAGGTATGACACTGGTCAACACCCAATGGTATCTCGTGCGGGTATCGATACTAGTATCTTCAAAGCACACTCTGTGCAGAGTGCTTCTGCATCCGCAACAGCGGATGCTGGTACTACTACGAATGATATCTTGAAAGCAGCAGCCGAGACTGGAGCAGCCAGTCGGTCTTTCAGAAGCTCTATTATTAGACCCCAGCATGATGAGAAATATGCTCAGGCAGTTCTCTCGAAGCTGTCAACCACTGGCAGAGAGCTACAAAATCACATTGATATGGAGACAGAGCATTCTGAAGTATAATTACAGAATGGCTCAGACCACGCAGTGGTTGCCAGCTATTCTGGATTATATGAAGAATGTGATGTCGAACATATCAATGTCCCAACCCTGACCCTCCCTGTGTTATAATGCACATAATATGCTTGTTCCGAGGCTCGCTATTCAAAAGGCCGAAGAACATAGAGGGAACAAGGGCTTTTATCAACGAAACCTGGTGTTCCACGCATGCGTTAAAACCAAGGATTCAAATAAAATCACAAAATTCATGAATTTTCACTACAAAAAAGCTATCAAGAGTTAGGAAACTAGGCCAAACACATTGATATGTTCGACATCACATTCTTCATATAATCCAGAATAGCTGGCAACCACTGCGTGGTCTGAGCCATTCTGTAATCATAGGTGCCAAACATTTAAAAAAAAATTTTGACAAAGGAAAAAAAGTTCAAAGTTGTACGTACGGTTACCTGTGACTTGTGAGCAGCATCGGTTATAAGGCTCCCTCCCGAGGCTCCATACTCTTAGACTGTGTTCACAGCCACTTTTGCTCTGTCGACTGTTTTCACAGCCATTTTTGCTCTTTTTTCTTCCGGTACTGTTGAGCTTGCACTTGTAATTGTGTTTATTCCCGTAGCTATGCAGAAGACGTTACTTCAGTAACGTCTGGCGCTAGCCAGGGTCCACACCGCTTTAATTTGGTGTTTGTGTGTTTGTTTGTTTGTTTGTTTGTTTGTTTGTTTGTTTGTGTCACGGCTGGAGCTATCCCGTATCTGTCCCGTATCTGTCCCGTATCTGTGACTACAAAGGCTCTACAGGATTGTACATAACAGCTGTCCACAATATTTGCGGGCTCCTGTATCTGTCCCGTACCGTACCAATATTCGTCGTATTATGTATACGACTCCCTGATGTAGAGGGAGATTTGGAAAGAAATAGGGAGACGAGGAGGAAATTAAATTAGAATAGACGCCGAATAGGTGACAGGATGCGTCCGCATTAACATACATGTACTTTGGAAGAGAGATCCTGTCGTCTCCAAAATAAGCGTGAACGAGCGATTCAGCGCCGGTCACAGGAAACGTCGGAAGAGAGATCCCGTCGACTCCAGAACCCCCGTGATCGGCACAGTTCGCCGGTCCCAGGAAACGTCAGGACAGACATCCCGTCGAGTCCAGAACGCCCGTGATCGGCAGAGTCTAAGCCGGTCCCAGTGAACGTCAGGACAGACGTCCCGTCGACGCGCAGAAAAACTAAAACTGCAGCCTCTTTTGCCGTCGGACAGGATACGTATTATAGGAGACTGTAAAGTTATGTAATGTCCAAATTTCCACGTGAGCAGCAGGTCACTCGCGTTGATTTTTCGACGTGCGAGCCAAATAATGCGAGCTGAACTTTCGCGTTGCAGACATCCGGTCGACGCGCAGAAAAACTAAATCTGCAGACTCTTTTGCCGTCGGACAGGATACGTATTTTAGGAGACTGCTAATTTATGTAATGTGCTCCACAGGCAACCATGCATTAGGCGTCGTCATTGGCTCAACAGGTCAATGTACATGTATTACTTCAAAAAGGCCAGAAAATCCGATTACTGTATTAAAATCAACTAATTTTCGCTGGCGATTTAATTTCACTGATTTCGCCGCTTGGTACCAACCGGCCAAAATAAATCGCAGGCCAAAGTTTGTCATAGGCAAATGATGCATGATTGAGCAATGGATGCATGTGAGAGCAAAAATACCGATCGATTTCAAATTTGACGTGAAATTGCGCGTCACGTCGGAAATAACGTGCATCTTAACCTCTTTAATAGAGAGGTTTCTATTTCTCATCGGCCAAAATTTGTTGATTTACAGTATAAGGAGATAAAAAGAAAAGAAGGAGCAAACCAAAAGTAGATGATTATTAGAGAAATAACAATCCGCAATAAATTCTGCAAATACTTTTGCCTCAGTTCTTATAACATGTACGATGAGCTAGGCAAAAAAGCATAAAAGCATAGCGTAGGGCCCTGAGCTTCCAAGCTCTCTCGTTTGCCCGTACAAGAGGCTTGGGAGAATGAAGCTGAAGACACCACTGCAGCTGTATTTATGGTTGATAAATACGGTGGTAAAGACACACCTGGCAATATGGCGGTAAGGGCGCGTTCAGACTGGCGTAAAAAACAAGCGGAATGGTAAAGTTGTCAAGGTGAATCGCTCACGTGACGTTCCCGCCAGCGTAAACACGGAAAAGGTTTCCCACCACTCTGCAGGCCAGTGGAATGCATATTCCGGCGGCACGCAGAGCGCTTTTGATATCCTTGCAGCACATGTTCCGTCTTTTCGTTTTATTTCAGCCTCTACTCTTGCAGTCTGACTGCATGCTTTTGAGTTTTGAGTTTTGACTTCTAGACTGCCAACTTCTCCCATCATGCCGAAATCTTTGTTCGACTCAGCAATGGAGAGGGAGTTCATGGAGCTGTACGTGGTGATTTTTGCGGGCCGCTCTGCAGGCAAAACGCTTACTGCGAACGAGAAGCATACTCTGATCGCGGAGCGGATGAATGCCACCCAAGCACCAAACAATCCGGACATAGTATTCTTTCCGTCGACAAGCACAATGATCCAGTATCTCAACAGACTGAATTAGTTTATTTTGATATCCAACTCAAACTGAGTCAACTCAACTTTTTCAAATGTCGAAGCTTCACATGTACTGGCCATTCCAGCGATACACGTGCAGTGTGATTGCGATTCCCGGGATTACGCTGCAGCTTTCCGGCGGCTATTCACGCCAGTCTGAACGCGCCCTTAACACACGCCTGCCCACGCACGCTCTCTAGGCTGCAAATTTCTGGCACAGAGCTCTCCTTCTCACCACCATCACCACCACCACCACCACCATCAGTTCGCGCCTGGCGCCTGGTCGATGCATGGCTGGCGGTATCCGGCATAGCAGGCTGGTACATCAATTAGCGCATGTCACATAGAAGATGACACAGCAACGACATAGCTGGATTGCTACGTTCGTTTCGTCCCCGCTGGACTCATCAGGCAATCTTCTTCTTGGATGTCTTCATACGGAGCTTGACTCGGGCGAATGAAGTTGAAGACACCACTGCAGCTGTATTTATGGTTGATAAATATAGTGGTGGTTGTTGTTGTTTGGCTTTATTTAGAGTGGAATTCCAAAACAGGCCTAAACCTAATGACAGTGGTCCCACTGATAAAGAGAAAAGAAAAATATATAAAAATAAGCGGACAAACGGAACAGAGAAGAAGAATTACAGATGGAGCGGACTCGCTCCCTTCTATTTACACTGCAACGTTCGAACACATTTTCGTAGTTAAAACAACGTTTCGGCATATAGCCCTCATCAGGTTTGCAATGATGTGCACTCTACAAAGGAAGGTAGACAACTAATATGAGCACGGCAGCAGGGGAAATAAAGTCACAAGCACGGCAATCGGTAAGAAAGGAGTGACTGAGTGAGTGAGAGAGAGAGAGAGAGAGAGAGAGAGAGAGAGAGAGAGAGAGAGAGAGAGAGAGAGAGAGAGAGAGAGAGAGAGAGAGAGAGAGAGAGAGAGAGAGAGAGAGAGAGAGAGAGAGAGAGAGAGAGAGAGAGAGAGAGAGAGAGAGAGAGAGAGAGAGAGAGAGAGAGAGAGAGAGAGAGAGAGAGAGAGAGAGAGAGAGAGAGAGAGAGAGAGAGAGAGAGAGAGAGAGAGAGAGAGAGAGAGAGAGAGAGAGAGAGAGAGAGAGAGAGAGAGAGAGAGAGAGAGAGAGAGAGAGAGAGAGAGAGAGAGAGAGAGAGAGAGAGAGAGAGAGAGAGAGAGAGAGAGAGAGAGAGAGAGAGAGAGAGAGAGAGAGAAGAGAGAGAGAGAGAGAGAGAGAGAGAGAGAGAGAGAGAGAGGAGAGAGAGAAGAGAGAGAGAGAGAGAGAGAGAGAGAGAGAGAGAGAGAGAGAGAGAGAGAGAGAGAGAGAGAGAGAGAGAGAGAGAGAGAGAGAGAGAGAGAGAGAGAGAGAGAGAGAGAGAGAGAGAGAGAGAGAGAGAGAGAGACAGAGAGACAGAGAGAGAGAGAGAGAGAGAGAGAGAGAGAGAGAGGGAGAGGTAGTGAAGCAGATGAGTTCATCCTAGTTGACGGTACTGCCTAACAGAAAGGCCAGGCCTTAGCGATTTGAAAGTGGAGCGCTTTCTTCTGGTAAAGACACACTGGCAATATGGCGGTAAACGCACGCCTGCCCACACACGCTCTCCAGGCTGCAAATTTCTGGCACAGACCTTTCATTCTCACCACCAGAAATTTGCAGCCTAGAGAGCGTGTGTGGGCAGGCGTGTGTTTACCGCCATATTGCCAGGTATGTCTTTACCAACATATTTATCGACCGTGCAAGAGGCTTGGTTGACTTGTACTCCTGCAATGATGAGCCTGTGAGGCTTGAGAGCTACCGATCCCGTACATAGTCAATATCCCGTACAGAAATACGACGTTAACACTCAGGGTACTAGGGTCGGCATACATGGTACGATAGTTTTTTCTCGTGTACTCGAGCTAGCTTGGTACGGGATGAGTATTCGTACAAAGGATAATGATCAGCCAGTTACGCTCAGCCAGTACCGAGCAGCAGCAGCCAGTAGAGTGTTCCGGACATCGCACTGGGCTAACAGTCTTCGTCCAATGCTCTATGCACCGCTCAGCTCCCGCGTGTCGTAGCCTGCAACACCAGTCTGCAGTGATCTCATTTGCTTTGTGGGGCGAGTGCGAGTTGAATTTCCTTCAGTCTGTCTTCCCTGCTAGGGTAGCGCCGCTGCAGACAACATGGCGAACGCTGCGGTTAGTGTTGCTCCGCCAATCCCCTGTCGCTCAGCCTATGCGCGTGATCGGTACGGAGCCTCTCCCTGCGACTTTCCGCCTGGACCCGAACCGTGACATCATCGAGATGAGCACGTATCACGATTTGTATAAAGAGACGAAGGATTTGAATTCCGGAGCATCAGCAGTGTGTGTCAGTGCCGTTCATCGCCTCACGGGGGAGAAAGTGGCCCTGAAGGTGTTCAAGAACGGCACGGACTCGATCGGCCGGCCCAAACCCTACACGAAGTCCTGCTTCTTGGAGGAAGCTGAAATAGCACTGAAGTGTCGTGGTCACCCAAACGTCATCTGGACATCCCTTCCTGCGTACAGGACAGTCAGCGAAGGATACGTGTTGGTTTGCGAGTGGGGCAATGGCAGTGATTTGCTAGACTTTTACAACGACGAGCGCAACCTGACGCAGAAAGACATCCTAGGGTTTCTCATGCAAATGGCAGCCGGTCTGCAGCATGTTCACGATCGTGGCTTTGTTCACATGGACGTGAAACCTGAGAATTTCGTCGTGTCCACCGATCCGGCCGGCAACCGAACGATCAAGTTGATAGACTTCGGCCTCGCCTATCCCGTTGGCAAGGTACTACCACACAGAATGTCTGTTTGTGGTGGGCGAGTGTACTACGCGCCCGAGAAGTTCCCACCGTCCCCCGGCAACCAGACCACCCGTACTCACTATTGCGTTCAG